TATCCAAGGTCAAATCGATGGCACCATCTTATGTCCCCCTTCGAATCAAACAACTTTTGTCTGAAACATTTTTGTCTACTGGGTTTAGTTTTCGAGATATTTGGCTGGATCATTTAAAATGAGACATCCTGTATATATTATTATTTATTTCACACACACACAATTGTACTTTTTCTTTAAAAAAAGTGTTAGTTTTATTTTATTGTATTGTTATTGTATTGTAATTAAAAATATATGTATGTAATACATTATAAACATATACATATATATATATAAACATATACATATATATATAACATGTATATATTTATACTATATATAAAATATAAATACGCAGGGGAAAAAATGTTTGATTAAATTAATTGTAATTCTGGTGGAAAATGAACGACCCAGAATTTTGGTTAAGTCTATTATATTTCTGATTAAATCCCCAATAAACATCGTTCCATAACATTTACGTAATCATTACGGAACGATATTCCACTGTCTTGTAAGAGTTACGTCATTTTCAGATCAAAATGTCAGCATATTTTAATTATATTTCGCGTAATAAAGTTGGTAAAAGAAAGGAACGTACACGTAACATTTATATATAAATAACATAACATTATCACAGTTACGTAACATTTACAAAGTTTTCAGAGAATAAAAATTTATGTTATTCAAATTACGTAAATGTTATGTTAACTATGCGTCGAAATAGTGACAGTACGGTCATACGTAACAGTTATAGCCATTTTACGTCAATGATATACCTGCTACGTTTTTAATTCGTTGTGCTGTTCTGTAACATTTTCATTCACCATGCTATGTAAATGTTCCGAAATTGTGCGCAGCCTGTTTACTGGGCTACTTTTAAATGTTAATGCGAGATGAATGACGAAACATGACACGTAAAATGCAAAAGAATGAACGTTTCGATGAAATTAAACGATAAACTTGTCGATAGAATTGTGTGTGAGACACGAATTCTAGTTAATTCAACCAAACATGTTTTTCTGTGCATATATGAGTAATTATAATAATATGTTACAATTTATAATATGACTTATATGTGTTGTAATTTTATAATGTATCATCTATATACTAAAAATAATACGATAAATATTAATAAATAAAAATGCAAAGAGATGTATCAAAATTGAAATAGCAATAGAAATAAAATGAAAAGTTAAAATTGTAATTTGTACGTGATGTATTCTTCATGTGATATTGGGTGCGTTCCGAGTTACGCATGATGTATCGTTGTATCCTTCTTTTTTATTTGGTGAACAACAAGGACAAATGGTGCATCATGCTCTTTATGTGTAACTCGAAACGCACCCATTAAATCACACTTGTATATATTGCGCATATATAATGTAATAAAGTCTATTTTTTAAATACTATATTATAATGAGAAATGTGTTTTTGTTAAAAATAATGAACTTATATATTAGAAATATATATATTACAATATACTATATATTATATGTATAAATATATAAGTATATATATATATATATACATATATATATATATATTCCTTGTTTAAAACATGAAAGATCCGCGGTATATTAAACATATGTTGAAAACAAAGCTAACATTGTCCAAGTACAACCTTACTATTAAGAAAAGAGAAGAAATGTAAACAATTTGTCACCCAAATATTTCTGTGAACTATTTCGATTAGAACCAGCCCATCGACGAACGTGGTAGCTGCGACAAAACACAATACGCACGAAACGGTAAAATCCTGCGGTAACTGTCAGTATACATACAATAAAAAGAGGATAAAATGGTAGTTAAATTCAAAATTATAGCAAGTATGTTTTGTAAAGTATATTTTTCATACATATTATACTATTCTTAAGGAAAACTGTGTGCATATTTAAATAAAGTCCATTTATTTAAATAACAAATTTTAATAAAAATTACATATATATGCTAAATTTAAAAATTAAAAATAGTATATTTTGTGACAGTTTCTTTGATCACTAATATTTCTATATAGTATATAAATAAATACTATTAATTTTTACATATTTTATAATTTTGTCACATTTAACAGAATTTAACAGTTTCTTCGTATACAAACTAAATGTATTAATAAAAAATACATTTGATCATCAGACTGAATATTCGTGTTATAATTTTCAAAATTCTAATTCCGTTATGATTACTTAATACATAGAATACAATTAATGTGAGATTATTAAAGTTGTAGACGATGATATTAATAACAATGAACCATCAGATGAAAATATTAACATTGATAACAGTAATGACATTCGAAACGTGCTATCAACTAAGGCTGCAAATGTACAAATATCTGACACAACAGTAATAAACCCAGTTGGAACTGATATAATGGTAACTACAGGTATATTAAAAATCTTCTTTGTGTTATATTGATCATTAAATTTATTTTGTTTACATGATATAGATAGAATTACTTTTTGCGTGCATTGAGGCTGATGTTATTCTTATTATTGGTAATAATAAGTCTGTTAACAGACAACTTGTAAAAAAAGCAGTCAAAATTGTTAGCGATAGCCAAGAAATTTCTAAAAGAGTAACAAGATCGCTACAAAACATAACAACGAGTCTAAATGAGATTATGCCACATGAGTAAATCTTTACTTCTACTTAAGTTGAAATTTTTATAATTACAAGTTTTATAATTGTGATTTGTTTTCAGAACTGTATTTGGAATACGAAATCAAACATTAATCGTTGATTTGTCTGGTCTGTACAAAAATACAAAAAATTGTTTTGCAGCAATTGCAAATATAATACTGCAGACGATATATTTGATACGTATAGACAAAGATCAAAATATTCCGCTATGTGACACTGCATCTTCCAGCAATAATTCTACGAAGCAGGTAAAGTATTGTTTGTGTTAGTAATAACGTACAATTTTATGACATTATACGTACATTAAGGTTTTTAATACAGAAAAAGGTCAAAACTGCCGTAAAGCGCCACGGGAAATCTTATTTATCTCCTGTAAGTTTACAATTAAAATATTTTCTGTATTAGAGATAAAGTAAAAATTTTATGATATTGTAAGTACGATTAAATTTTCTTACAGAAGCACGATTACGCAAGTACGATTAAACGCCATAAAGAATCATTTCCTATGATTTCTATACCAGATGCACTGTCCAAGATACATGAAATAATACGTGAAAGTAAAAATAAAATTATTTTTGAAACGGTGCAGCTAAATGATGCTTATGGTAGAATATTGTACGAGAATGTGGAATCTACTTATAATTTCCCACCATTTAATGCTTCCACTAAACATGGATACGCAGTATTAGTAACTGATGGAAAAGGTTTAAGGAAAGTGTTACAACAGAACGAAAAAAATACGGTAAGTTGTATCAG